GTTGGTGTGCTGTTTGTTCCAATGTGTCGGTTTGTTGGCGAGTTTCGAGTCTCCGGTGCATCCGGGGCCGCCACGCCCAGGAAGGCCCCTTCATGAGCGCCTTTGGCTCTCTATAGAATTGACCAGAAAAATTAAGTCACAGAGAACTAAAAAGCAAGTATGTACCATTGCAGATGAATAAAAGCACGGTGAAGCGATAAAAAGCACCGAGAATATCAAACCATAAAACGAATCGGTACCTGTACAATTCGAGCGCGTTAAGACCCCAATCTAATAATCGAAGACCACGACGCTTTAGAATGATACTAGTACATCCTGAAAGAGCTGTCCAAACAAATTTACCTGGTGTTGCAAATGAGATTATTGTGACCAAAATTCTGAAAACTAATTGTTCTTAATAGTAATAAAGTGATATTTTCAGTGTACGATTTCCTTCACTGCAAAATGAGCAACTCCAAACGAAGCAATAAAGCCATTTCCTTCTACTACTATATTGATTCGTCTTAGGCTAAATCTTTAAACACAACATGAGTTCTCAGAACATTTGGACCATTATGGGTGGAGACTAGGGAAAATTTCGTCCGATTAAGGTATAAAGGGGCAGAATAATAACTATGAAACAGCTGTACAAAGTAAGGTTTGGAGTTCCAGAGGGTTTGGGGGGGGGGGGGCTAAACAGAAAAGCTAAAAAGTACTCACTTTATTCGGAATAAATGTTTCTTGCACCAGATTACGGAAACGGCCAACGGAAGGGTCAACATCTTCTGGATTGATTACTTCATCCGCATCGCTAAAATGTACACTGTGCATTTTCCGTTTTCGACGTTCCCCCAAACCTAGGGAATTGTTTGTACTAGACACATCCACAATGCTGGCTATTCTTCGGTTGTGAGCGGTGTTGAATTCAGTCAGATTGTCCAATTCCACTTCCGACTGGGGCAATTGGGAGTACAGAATTCCTAGGGAAGCACCGTCTCCAGTTGAATCGTCCAGTGAGCGATTGATTGGACCCATAGAATTCAGAACGTCCGAGCCGATCCCCGTAGCATCGCCATTATTGTTTGGACCGTTGTATAGTGGATTTGGACGCTCTCGAATGATGTAAATGCGAGTGGAAGCACCGAAATGTAGTTCCGAATCAATGGGAACCTAAATCCAAATGCATTTATTGTTTGCGGGACTACGATTAGAAACGTAATTCATAAAATAAGGTAAACCGCGCTAGTAATAGAAAGCAAGCCTAACTAGCCGTTGCCTGGCTTGTAATACGGGCAAGCTGATAGGTTCGAGCACAGTGGTGAAGAACTTCAGGGTATTTTTTACCTTAAGCAGTTCAAAAAAGGTAACTACAGTGTTTTTAAACGCTCCATTGCATTACCTAGTGTCGTCATTACAGACTAAACGCTCTGAGTAGCTGAACCATGCTTTTAAGTGCGTTTACAAATCTCCGTATACCGTTTTGGCACCGCTGATCCAGCCCAATACCCCGTCACCGCTTCGCACAATTCAGCATCAAGTGCTCGTTTACCATAGTGAGAGCTGAGCGGCGCTTTATTTGCTACAAAATCGGGTATTTGGCCTTGTCCGCTGCCAGCACCTCAACATTCTGGTCCGTTATTCGCTATTTCGGTCTTTTTCTTTTTTCTTTTCATATTACTTCCTTTTATTGAATATACATAGACACAATTTTCAGGAAGGGGGAAGCGGCCAATCAAAGGGCTGCCCTACAATACACAAATGGGGAAATTCAGGCGGTGGTGGTGGGATTCGAACACTCGTCCTCTGGGGTGGCGTTAACATCAGGCCACCACCGCCCATAAGGCAGTAATAGACCAAATGGACAAGTTTTGTTATTTGAACAGATATATCTTACCTGGCAGCCGAATCACGGATGAAGTGTCAGCTCGCATACAGAAGGCTCCATCGGCATTTGCCAACTTGAGACATACATTTGTGGCCCGTTGCGGTATCCGGCTGCCCGTGAAGGGTTGAGTATATGCTACGGCAGTTTGGCCAGTTCTGCTCTACGATGCAGAAACTTGGCTATTAAGAGAATAGGATAAAGATAGACTGTCGGTGCTCAAACACCGCTGTTCACACAGTACTGCACGAATCTGGTGGGGCAACCAGGCAAACAATGCTGAGGCTAGTCGCGGAGTTCTAGGTAACTGCAGCTGCCCACTGGAGCAAGTGGACGACCTCCGTAAATCACGTTGGTTAGGACACGTGCTACGCATGTCACCGAAGTCAAAAGTCAAAGTCAATAGTAGATTTATGCATCCGGATGGGTGAATTTTTGGCACCATATTTGTGGATGCAAATTTACAAAAACATACATAATTAAACTCAAAGTAGTAGATATTGTGTTGGTCAATGAAGCAAGAAATTGCGCAATTTTGTGGAAACTTTCCGCTCATCAATAGGTAGACGTGCTAGATATGCAAAAACAGAATTACGATACGAAAAGGTACGTGCAAATAAAAGTTTAAATTGTTCACGCTCCCGCGTTGGATTTACGCCGCACAGCCTTGCGAGTCAGACTTTTGAGTCAAAGGCTCCGGTTAGGGTTCCCAAAGAAAAACCCCTTCGTCGGTGTGGGCAACCGCGAAGTATGCCGTACCCAAAAGTCTTAGGTACCCATTAGGAAAACCGTCTTCCTCAACTGTCTGCTTCCTCTTCTCACTCCCATACCTTAGGAGATGCATCCTGTTTGCGCTACCCATCGAATACCACTCAGTGTTCAACTAATGAGGCCAACCACTCAGAGGCTATCAGATTATTGAAACCAAAATCTCCTTTCCACTTAGCCGCATTCAATGTCCGCACATTCTATCAGATTGGTCAACAAGCCACCGTAGCTAGAACCCTTGAAACCTTCCATTTAGATGTATTCTGTCTTCGAAACACTCATACAAAACCCTACTTCAATCATCTTGCGGTCCCCAGATCCAACCTCATCTTCANGGGCGTGCCCGAGAAGTTTATTTCAATATTACAATCCTTCTATAATAATAATAGCCAAAGCCGAGTCTGAGCTTACGGCATTTTTTCATCCGAGTTCACCACGGAAGNCAGACTTTTGAGTCAAAGGCTCCGGTTAGGGTTCCCAAAGAAAAACCCCTTCGTCGGTGTGGGCAACCGCGAAGTATGCCGTACCCAAAAGTCTTAGGTACCCATTAGGAAAACCGTCTTCCTCAACTGTCTGCTTCCTCTTCTCACTCCCATACCTTAGGAGATGCATCCTGTTTGCGCTACCCATCGAATACCACTCAGTGTTCAACTAATGAGGCCAACCACTCAGAGGCTATCAGATTATTGAAACCAAAATCTCCTTTCCACTTAGCCGCATTCAATGTCCGCACATTCTATCAGATTGGTCAACAAGCCACCGTAGCTAGAACCCTTGAAACCTTCCATTTAGATGTATTCTGTCTTCGAAACACTCATACAAAACCCTACTTCAATCATCTTGCGGTCCCCAGATCCAACCTCATCTTCACTCTTCGTGTGTCAGGCGATTCGACATCTGAAGCTCGCGGTGTTGCTGATGTTGGGATTGTGCTGTGTCAAGGCCGAGCGTTCACTTCTCGATTGGATCCCGGTTAAAAGCCAACTTTGCGCCGTACGTTTGGATAGTTCAGAAAGAGTCAACAGCTACAGAACGAAACGTCGATGTTTATTCATCGTATCCGCGTATCCACCGACAGATTGCAGTTCGCCAGAAGTGAAGGATGTTTCTACAAGGACCTCTCTCTACTGCTCCGAAGTTCTCGGTCAACGGACATCGTGGTGGTCCCAGAAGACTTCAATGCTCAAGTGGGATCCCTGGACGAATCAGAGAGGCTACTTGGAGGTTCACAAGTAATTCCAGTCAACAGGACTGATAGCGGAGAACGCCTACTCCAACTTTGTGCTGACCACGGACTGTTTCTGTCAAGCACGAACTTCTCACACAAAAAACGCCACCATCTTACATGGAGACCGCCAACCGCTTCACAGCGCTTGGACTCAAATCGACCACATCGCCATCAGCCACCGCTGGTGAGGATCCATTGAAGACTGCCGCTACTACTGGTCAACGACCGTAACAGCCCTATCATCGTGCGGGGATAGTGGCATCGATTTACTCCCAGGTGACTCTGATCTAGAGCATGCAGACGATACTGTGCTA